GGGATTGCTGCCACTGCAGGAAGGGCAGGGGACACACAGGGACATCATACCCAATGGAGATCAACCTGGCAATGATTTCCTGAGGTCAAGCAGCTTCTCTTCCCAGGGATGGGCCAAAGCCATCCTCAGCATCCTTATCTGCCACCAGCCCCACGGGAAGGGAAACAGCCTTGACTCTATCAGCACCACCAGACACACCAAGTCCCCCAACCGGCGCCCGCCTAAGGTCCCATTCTGCCCCTATATGCCACAAAACACCAAACGCAGCATGTCCTGCTTGAGCTAGAGTGATCACAGCAGCAATCCCAGCCACATAACAGAGTCCCCTTCAGCAGGTGGAAGCTGATACCAAGATGCTGAAGGGGGTTTGGGGTGAAGGCCCTGATCCCCCTTCCCAGCATTGTGTGGGTTCATGGGAATGAGGAAGGACACCCCAGTCCTCCTCTCAGCAGGTGCAGGAGCAGGAGGTGAAGCCCTAGGCTGAGCTGCAGAGACTTGAGCTAAAAGGCAAGAAAGGAGCTTTGAGGAGATCCGGGTCAGGGTAGGAAATACATCTTGGATCCCACCTCCCAAACCATTCTACCTCCCAGGCCATCCCGGCACCACCAGCAGAGCACCAGGAGCTCACACCCATCCTCAAACCTCACAGCCACCACTGGACTGGGCCACAGGAGAGCCCCCAAGGAGCCACCAAGCATGGGTGACAGCCCATGGTCCCACCAAGGAGGTGGTGGCACGTACATGAGGCAGGGGAAGGGGGCCCAGACCCTGCCAGGAGGTCACTGAGCCTTTGCTTTCCCCCTGCAGCAGCTCCTCCTCATCCTGCTGACCCCCCAGACTCATGCATCCATCCACCCCGAAGCAGGGGCTGCAGCACCCACCTCTCGCTGCCCCATGATGGACATCCCCAAGTCCCCTCTGAATCTACCTCCCTGGGGTCAGGCCACTCCAGATGTGGGCCAGGAGCTCCTGGCTCAGCCTCGGTGCTGGTGAGGAGCCTGGTGTGAGATACTCACTCGGCAGGGAAGGGGGACACCCCCTCCGCTTCCCTTTCACCACCACCTCCAGGAGACAAAGGTCTGCAAAGCCGCCGGAACTGCCTCTGCTCCCCCCCCACTCCCGAAACCCAAAACCACCCATTTCTGTCTTTCCCTTTCTGCTCTTTGGGAGGTTTCCAGCCATCAAACCCTTCCTGGGAACCCTTCAAAGGCAGAGCTGCCGCCCCATCCACTTGCTAAACCAGTCTGAGCAGTGCCGGGAGCAGGCAGGAGGCCCCCGGCACCCCCTGTCTGGCACAAGGGGAGTGGGACAGGGACAAGAAACCATGCGGAGGAACCTCGGGTGATCCTGGAGCAAAAGAGAGGGATGAGGCTGAGCTGAAATGGGCTCCTGGGCTCAGGAGTGTGGGGTGATGTTATCAGCCCATGACAGGGGTTAGCACCCCACTGCCCTTCCAGCAGGACCTCAGCATCTTCTTCAACAGCAGGGTGATGCCCATGCTGGAAAGAGGGCTGATGTCCCTCTGCCACATGTGTGACACAGGACCCTGTGTGACCCCAACATGCATGACCCCACAACTCCCAAGACCTGGGGGCTTCACCCCTGCCTACCCCCCTGTACAGCTGTGTCCTGCTGAGGGAATGGTGGATGCTGAGGTTCAGCACCCCAAAGATCTCCTAGAAGCAGGAGAAAAGATGAAGGGGATGAAATCAGAGCCAGACAGACCATGGGGGGTGGGAGACATGAAGGGGTGCAGCGGGGAGCAGTGGTCCAGGGGCTTCCCAACTCACCCATCAGTGATGGCAAGGCCAAGGGCCGGCAGAAGGGATGTTTGCTCACCTCAGGAGTACCACTCAGTAAGAATAGCTCATTTGGCAGTGGTGCAAGTTCAGGGCAGGGCTCCCTTAGAGGGGTACAAGAGCATCACCCCAGATACTGCAGGATGTCCCCAGGCCATGATGGGTGGGGAAGCAGCTCTGCATGAATTGCAGGGTGGCAGAGACACCCCCATCTCCCCCATAACCAGGGTGAACATTCACTGCCAGAGGGGAAACTGAGATGAAATCCTGGGCAGAAGCTGTGGCTGCCCCATCCCTGGCAGTGTTCAAGGCCAGGTTGGACACAGGGGCTTGGAGCAAGCTGCTCTAGTGGAAGGGGTCCCTGCCCGTGGCAGGGGTTGGAACTGGCTGAGCTTTAAGGTCCCTTCCAACTCAAACCAGGCTGTGGTTCTACGCCAGTTGCCAACTCAGGTTTCCTCTTGGGGTAAGACAAAGCCGTGGCTGGGAGGGGTGACACGGGGACACATGGGTGCTGTGTGCCACCCGGAGGTGTTCCATCATCAGTGCAGCAAGTTCTCCCCCGCCAGGCCTCAGCACTCATCATGAGCAGCATCCCCACATGAGAACACCCGAATTCCCTTGTTCCCTTTGTTAACCTGGGAGAGAAAACCAGCACAGGACACTGCAGAGCCAAAGCCCAGCACTTCCAAGACACCTTTGCCAGAAGATTTTCACTCACAGGAAGGTGTTTCCCTATGGAAGCAGCACCCTGGTGCTCCAGCACCTGCAAGCAAGGATTCCTGGATCTCTGCTCCAGCCTCATCATGGGGCTCCCCTACAACACAGGCACAAACAGACCCAGGACTGAGCTGCAAAAGCCAAAACCTCACCCAACAAACACCATTACTGTGGGTTGCTTTGGGGGTTTTCTTTTTGCCTCTTCTTGTTGCTGTTGCACTTTGTTCTTCCAATGGCAAACTGAAGCAGCCATCAGGAAAGCAGCTAGTCTGCTCAAGCCACTTCCACAGTGGCTCTGGAGCAACATGTCTCCCTGGAAAACCATCATCTCCTCCCAGATACTTGGGGAGTATTCAGCCAAGCCACTTTAAAAGTATTTTTTTCTGTTAAAAAATGCAATCTTTGCCTTTTAAAATGCCATTTTTGCCTTCTAGAACATCACTGTAACAAGTCGGTGGATCACAGGAGGCACAGCAGGATTTCAGGGAGGGTTTAGCACCTCTCCCCGTCCGGGTGTGGTGTGGGACTACCAACCCCTTTACCACCACCTCAAAGGGGGTTGTCATCCCCTTCCCCAGCTCAGGAGGTGGGTTGGGGTCTCACCTCAAGGGAGCTCACTGCATCACACAGGTCGCTGCTGAAGCCAAACACAGGCCATGGCCGGTGAATATCCCACTGGAGATGTTCAAAAGGAAGGAAAATCCATGTTTTTTCCACAGCTCTGAAATCTCTTCAGCTTCTGGGAAAACTAGCCCAAGAAACCATCATTTTGCTGAGCTCAGCCCCTCTCCTCCTGGCACGGGGGAGGCAGGAGGGCTCCACTGCCCTCATCATGCCCTGGTCCCTCTCCCTGCCCCATGGCTGCAGCAAAGCAAGATACACACAGAGGAACTCGGCTACTTTCCATGTTATTCCTGTGTAGAAAAGACCTCAAAGAGTTTTGTATAAATATCACAGCTCACGAGTTTAAAATCCCTTGTTTGGGTTTAACAACCAAATAGAAAACAGAAACACACACACATGCCTGCCCCGGGGCTTGGAGAGTGGGGTGAGGGTGGAGCCCCTAGCTGTGGGGGCCACCAGCAGTGCTGACCCTGAATCCCAAGGGTTTTTCCCAGCCTCCCTTGCCTTCCTGTGAGGATCTGGGGCTGAAGATGAAGGAAGAACATCAGATGCAGCCCCAGGAGAAGCTCTGGTGAGCATGGCTTTGAGAGAGGGGACACATGGTGGGACAGGAACGCAGAGACTGCAGAATCATTTAGGTTGGAAAAGATTTTCAAGATCACCGAGTCCAACATGAACCCAGCAGTGCCGAGGCCACCACTGAACCACGTCACTAAGTGCCACATCTACACATCTGTTAAACACCTCCAGGGATGGTGACTCCACCACGTCTCTGGGCAGCCTCTTCCAGCGCTTGACAACCCTTTCCATGAAGAAAGGTTTCCAATATGCAGCCTAAGCCTATCCTGGTGCAACTTGAGGCCATTTCTGCTGTCCTATCGCTTGCTCCTTGGGAGCAGAGACCAGCCCCCTCCTGGCTCCGTTCTCCTTCCAGGTAGTTGTAAACCCCCCAGGTCCCTCAGCCATTCCCCATCACACTTGTGCTCCAGGCCCTGCACCAGCTCTGGTACCCTTCTCTGGCCCTGCTCCAGCACCTCAATGTCTCCCTTGTAGTGAAGGGCCCAGAACTGAACACAGGATTTGAGGTGCAGCCTCACCAGTGCCCAGTGCAGGGGCACAATCACTGCCCTGGCCCTGCTGCCACACTGGTGCTGATATAGGCCAGGATGCTGGTGGCTTCTTGGCTGCCTGGGCACAGGCTTATGTTCTGCTCCATCAATCAGCACCCCCAGATCCTTTTCCATGAGCAGTTTTCCAGTCACTCTTCCATAAGTCTGGAGCATTGTGTGGGGTTGTGGTGAGTCAAGTGCAGAACCTAACACTTGACTTTGTTTAAGCTCAACTGGCCTCAGCCCACCGATCCAGCCTTGATAAAGGCATTACGAAACCAACCCTGGGGACACCACTTGTGACCAGCCACAGCTGGACACACCCTCCAGCTGTGCTGAGCCCCAAAAGGGTTGGGGACACCATGAGGTCAGGGACAAACTCTGCCCCATGGAACATTCTTGTAAGGTGGAAAGCAGGGAAGTTTCCCAGGCATCCATCAGAGTCCTCATCAGGGGCCATAGGCCCCTGCACCCACCACCACCACCACCACCACCCCCCCAAGCAGCCCAGCACCCCCCAGACCAAAGGCACAGGTTCAAAGTGAGCTTCTGGGAAGCTCCCCCTGCCCCAAGCAGACCCACCGGCACTGGGTTGGGAGAGGGGGCTCATGGCCCCCCAGCACCCTTCCCACTACCCAAAAGCCCCAAGGTTCCAATCAGAAATCCTGATACCTCCCAGACTGGGGGGGGGGGAAATGAAACTGGGAAAGGGGCGCCCCACAGAAATAATAATTACAATTAAAAACCAAAGTGTGTGGCCACAGTCTGCCTTTTTAACTTAGAAATGGTTCAAGTGTCCCATAGTCTTCAAAAAAAACCCCCAAATGCTGCAGCGCCCCCCATCCCACCCCCTTTAAAACTCCATAAAATCACAGTTCAACGTTCCGCAGTTTCCCTTTGTGTTTGGTGGTGGCAATCTCATTTGGGGGGTGATGTTGGGTTGTTGTGGTGGATTTTCCTCCCCTTTCTTGCTTTTTCTGTTCCTGCGTGCCCCTGGGCACCTCCGCTGAAGCCCAGCACATGCCAAGAGATGCAGAGAGGCGACGGGCCACGTCCCTTCTCCTGCTGGGACAGGGACACATAGCGGCTGGGAATGGAAAAGCAGCAACTTTCAGGAAAGAGGCTACTGCACAGGGGCAATAGCAGAGCCCTCACCTCTGTCCTTGCCATGGTTTCCAGGTTTTGCTCACAGCGACTGGGAGAGGGGCAAGGACAGCAAGCACATGAGGTGGAAGAGGGCAAGAGGTCGATGTGCAGGTCTAGAGGCAACTGCTGGGTGAATCCTGGGTGACGAGTCAAGGAGGAGCCTCTGGATGTTGTGTGTGGGGAGAAGGCCAGGAAAAAGAAACAGGAGCACAGGAGGAGGAGGAGGATCAGTCTGGAAGCCACCATTGTGCATCTTGTGTCAGCGGGGGTCCTGAAGCTGCCACAGTTCTCTCCCTACCAGGCAGACTTCGGCCTCTCTGCTCCTGCAGTTCTTCCATCGCACACAGAGGAGCAGGGGGGGATGCACCCCCATTTTCCACCACTTTCCCCTCAGTCCCAGCCCCGGGGACGGGGGCTCCTCACATCATGATGTGCCGCCGGCGGTGCAGGGCAAGGTGGTCAGAGCGGGAGAAGCTGCGGTCGCAGTCCGAGCAGCGGAAGGGTTTGATGCCCGTGTGCTTGCGGAAGTGCCGGGTCAGCTCGTCGGAGCGGGCGAACTTCCAGGTGCATCCTTCCCAGGTACATTTGTACGGCTTCTCGCCTGCGCCGGGGGAGCAGAGAGGGGCTCAGCAAGGCAGGAATGCCCCCTGTAGCCAAGCAACCCCCTCATCATCCCTGCGCCAGCCCTGCTGCTAGCCCAGCACGGTTCACTGGCGCCACCGGCTGTGCGAGTGCTGCTTTAGGTGTAACCGCACCACACCCGCGCCGCCAGCGAGAGCAGAGGCGGTGCTTTGGGGTGCACACCCCATACACACCCCTACGGCATCACCTTGTGACACCATGGGGCTGATGGTGGCACCCCCATGCAACTCTACTGGCAGCACCCCACTGTCCTCACCGGGACTGAACACAGCAGCACCGCAGAGCAGAGCCTGGGGTCCTGGGGGGTGCTGAGCACATGTTGGGGGCGCTGGGAACATCCCCCAGGCAAAGGGACCCAGGGTGCTGGAAAGGGAAGAGAAGGAAGAGGGAGTCCCGGCAGGGTCACCCAAGGGAGAGCCCCATAACCAGGCGGGGGGGGGGGGCAAGAGGGTCCCTGAGACATGGCCTTGGGTCCCAGCACTCCCAAAGAATCAGCACAGAGCACAAGCACCCCCAAGGCCTGCAATACTCCCAAAGTGACCTCAAAGGGCTTCCGCAACCCCCCTGGCAGGAGGTGCCAGTACCCACAAAGGGCCCCCACAGCTACTATAAGAGGGTTCCAGTGCCCAAAAGGGGGTCTCCAGACCCCAAAGGGCCTCACAAGTCCCTGGCAAAATGTGCCAGCATCCACAAAGGATGCCCCCAGTCACTGGCACAGGGTTACAGCATCACCAAAGGGCCCCCTAACCCCTGAAACAGGCTGCCAGCAATCCTAAAGCCTCATGAGCCCCCCCAAACACTTGACAGCACACCCAAAGAGCCTCCACAACCCTCTAAAAGCTCTGAAGGCTAAATGGCCCTCTAAAGGGCCATCCCCAGCTCTAGCAGAGGGAGCCAACACCCCTAAAGACCTCTCCATCGCAGGGACCATCATCATCCTCCCAGCCCACCCCTGGGTACCCCCAGCCCACAGGTAGGCAGAGGCACTGATCCTGACCCTGCCTGCCAGGGGGGTGTCTGGCATTGTCCCCTACCTGTGTGTATCCGCCGGTGAGCTTTGAGATGGGAGCTTTTGGTGTAAACCTTATTGCAGCCCTCAAAGTCGCACTGGTGGATGCGCCGCTTCTTCAGGTCGGGGGACTCTGCTCGCTGTGCCCGTGCCACCGGCCTGCAGGAGAAGGCAGAGATGGAAGCACGGCCCTGGCATCCACAGACCCCATGGGATGCCCATGGAGGGGGGGGACAGGTGGGAAGGTACACAGACAAAGGGACTCACTCTCTCTGGAGGTCCTGGAAAGGGGCCGGGCCACTCTCGGAGGCGCTGTCCTCGCTGTCGCTGTTCATGTCCATGGGGTACATGGAGCCCGGGTCAATTTTCACTGGTGGGGGGCGGGAAAGAAAAGCTATTGAGAAACAAGGAGGGAGGGGGTGAGGCTGTGAGCAAACAACAGAGACACCCCAAAACATACCACACCCCTGCCCCAGAATAACCCCCCCTCTGCTCCCACAGCACCCCAAATGCTGCTCCCCCCACAAAAACCAACTTGGGGAAATGGATAAGCCACTGATGCCATATAGCACAGAGATACTGGGAGGCATGACTTGGGTGGCACCGCTGTTGGCTGCTTGCTCCTGCCCTTGGGAGGCGAGATCCAGGTCTGTCCCCCCCAACTCTGGATAAGGTGGGAAGCTGGGAATGTGCTGGGGAAGGGAACAGAGGGTGCCTGGGGAAGCAGCTGAACTGAAACCAGAGCTGCTGGCAGCAGGCAGGCAGTGGGAAGGGCAGGCAGGCTGCCAGCAGCAGGATGGGTGGCAGGCAGTGCCATGCCCCAAGTGTCCCCTGCCCTCCCTGTGTCCCCCTGGGGAACAGGCTGGGGGCTGAGGGCCCTGGGGTGGTTCTGGGTGGAGATGGCAAGTGTGGGTGAGGGAAAAATCAGATCCCCTTCAGGGGTGCTGCTCCATGAACTAGGACACCCCCACTTCACCCCAGAGAAGCTGTGGCTGCCCCATCCCTGGCAGTATTATAGGCCAGGATGGACAGGGCTTGGAGCAACCTGCTCTAGTGGAAGGTGTCCCTGCCTGTGGCAGGCTTTGGAATGAGCTTTAAGGACCCTTCCAACACAAACCAGTCTGGGATTCCCAAAAGTTTCAGGCTTCCCCCCCACATGTGCTTACCAGACCCAGCGTTCTTGCCGTCCCCCCCTATGAGGGGCACAGTGATGGCGGTGACCCCATCGGTGGGCATGGTGGTGTAGACGACAGGGAGGGACTGCACCACCACGGGGATGGTCTGCAGGTTGCCCATCTTGCTGGGCAAGTTGACGGAGGGGATGGTGTGGATGACGTGGAGGATCTGCTGCCCACCACTGCCCTGCGTGGAGGCCAGGATGGAGCCGGGCGACAGCACCGCTGGGATGGCCGAGGTGGAGCTGAGCCCGGAGGGGGAGATGGAGACGGTGGCGGGAGCAGGGAGCGGAGGAGCCATCAGCAACGGGGAGGACTGCACCGAGACAGGAGGCGGCGGGGGGGGGGCGGAGGTTGCTGCTGCCACCTTGGACTTGTTGAGAGAGAGATCCACGGGCTCCGCCTGGGGCTGGCCGCAGTCGCTGGCCAGCAGCTCCTCGGGGGGCTCCGTCTTGATGTCCGCCAGCAGCACCGGAGGGTCGAGGGGGCCCTCGGCCAGCAGCGCCGACGAGCTCATGGCGGGCGTCGTCCTCCCTCGGCCCTGCAGGAGAACCACACACTGCGTGAGGCGGCGGGGAAACAGGTACGGCGGGCGAGGGCAGGGCGGCCACCTCCGGGGGATCCCACCCAGCGGAGCGGAGCCCCAGCGGCGGCCCAGCCGTGCATGGCGGCGGCGGCGGCGGGGCCAGCAACGGCAGGGTGAGCAATGGCGGGGTCAGCACTCGCGGTACCGGGCACGGCGGTGGCAGGGGGCAGCAATGGCGGCTCCCGCTCCCCTCACGACGGCCGCGCCGCGAGCCGAAGG